GTTCCTCATCCCAATCAGGTATTATAATCACCATTCAGGAATGAGTTCCTCTCACTCTTGCTTTAACTAGAAGTTCCATCTTGGAAAACCAGTGCAACTAGAGCTTGGTTTAAATAATACAGTTCACTAAAAATTATCATTATGATCAATCAATGTTTTCCAGTTGGGGAAAAAAAAAATTCAGGAAGGGGGACTGCAAATAAATTCCAGCTCTCACATTATGAAGAGAAAATGAGATTATAGACCAGACATTTCATAAGCAGCAGGCTTACCAAAACACAGCTCCCAGCAGTTTTGTTTTACCAATGGTCTTCCATCTACTGACACGATCTCTACCATTCACCATGAAACTGGCTGATGGGTTCAGAACTTATTTGGTTTAGCCCAGAGAAAGATTTATACAGCATGGCCATACAAGACCTATCTCCTCAGGAAACTGTGGTTTTAACAGGAACTCATACCTTCTTTTCTGCATATTCATCGGACACTTCAATGACATTCTGACAAAGTGCACCAAATATTCCTCCGTACTCATATCGGGCATTTGGGCACAAAAATTACATCAGGTTACTTGTGTTAGGTGTAACTGTGTGCATGTATCTTTCACTGGTTTAGGACACGTTTTTCCAGTATATTACCTTGGAAATATCCTCTCTAGCTCTTCTCGATGAGGTATGTGTGGAACTGGAGGATGGTCAAAATGTAAAAGAGTAAGGAACACAGATCCTGCATGAGCTCGAAATTTATCGATTTTCTCAGCCGACTGTTGAGCCAGCCAGCACATAATCTGTTTGCAGCTACAAAGAAGAAAAGAAAACAATTAATCAAATAATTTAATCAACAGAATAAGTATTAAAATCTAAACTGTTTCAAGGATATCAAAAATATCCTGCTACGAAAGTATTCTGGTTTAACACTTTGTAACGAACATACAAGTGATTTAAGACATCAACATAATAACAGAATCTTTAAAGCTTTATCTTCCATAGATCAATCAAAAAACAGGATGACATCAGCATTACACAGTATTTGATATTCAGACAGCACTTTTCACCCAAAAAGATATGAAGATGCTTTACGGTTGGATGAACTGCTGCATTTCAGATGGAAATAAAGCAGGAACCTTGAGAAAAGCCCATTCTCAAGTAGAAAACCGCACATATAGCAGAGGACCAGTCTATCCCAAATCTCATATATTCCACATTAATCACTTCAACCCTGGCTAGTTTTTAACAATATCCTACATTCATAACTAAACTCTCAGCTACAGTATTGTGTTCCACAAGGCCCTTTACACGTTCAGAAAGGACAACTAATGTAGTAAAACCAGCCAGAATTCCTTCAGTTACAGCAAGGCCCAGAATCTTCAGAAAATGTGATCCAGCTGTCAGGAATGCTTTTCTAAGTTTCATGTGAATCATCTATGTCTCCAATAGACCAACAGAGGGAAGCCCCTGGACAACAGGCACTGGTTTGAGTAGCTTATTCTTACAGAATCCAGTGTTTTCCTTCAAAGTGTCCTTCTAAGTTTGGGGGTTTTTTAATTAAAAAAGAAATCATGTATATAGTCAGCTAACCATTGGGCATGCTCTGTCCATAAACCAACATCATTATCAGGAAATCTTTGTTGCAGCTCAAGCTATGCTTAAAACTGGTTAAGGTTCGTTTGTTTGGTTTTTTTACCATTAAGGGTATTGTATCATGAAATTAAAAATCAGAAGCCCAGTGTAAATTACCTTTTTCTCTATTTCCTTACTAGTAATTCTGCAAAGACGACAGAAATGAATATAAACTCATCTCCACATTTTATCACATTCCATGTTAATGATGCAATGCTCTGGATAAGCGGACAAGTTTACTTTCTATTCCAGTGAACAATACTGGCAAGCTCCACAGAAGCGGCAAGTATAGACCAAATCTCACAGATGCGCTGTATTTCAGAGGTGGGACTGCCACCCAGTTTCTCGCAGTAAGGTCGATCTCAATGCAACATTCTCATCATCTGCATGGGTGTTTAGGCTGAGGCACTTCTATCAAAAGTTCTGTCACACTCAATAAAGGAGTAAGTACACTATACATAAGCAATGCTTTCTCGTATGGGCTGGACATAGTTACAAGAGGTAAGAGACAGAAGTAGTACAACTAACATACATGCTGGCACTAATTAACTCCACTTCGTTCTGAACCAGCAGAAGCGTCACTTCCATTAAACTTGTCATAGCAGCTTCACGTACCCTGTTGAAACAGATACATTAGTTACATCAGTATTTACTTAAATAAATACATCAGCAGGTAAGGTAGGCACTGGCAAAACATCAACATAATCAAAGTGTTGACTACTGAGAGCAGCTATCATCTTTTTGGGAGGAAGAGGAGTGTGTATAGCTGTACCCCTCATCCTGTAAAGTGAAGCCCACACCACACTAAGGGTACAACAGTCATCCAACCTTCCAGGCAAGCCCCCTACCTACCATCTTATTTTTTACTCCAGCCAGATGTTATCAGGTTTATTCTTTATTTTGAAGAAGGTTATAATTGATAGTGATCAGTAGCATTTAGCATGTAAGTAGACGTATTTAAACCTAAATGCTCTGTCTGCTTCAAATCATCTTCTAAAAAGGCTAACCCACATTTTGACATTAAGATATTTAAGCACTGTCAAAAGCATCATATTCTTGTAAATTTTCAAGCTTAATATTTCCAACGTTAAAAAAATTGTAGCTTAAATCCCTATGCTGAGTAATAATTAGTTCTACAAAAAAGAACAGCTAAAGTAACACTAAGCTGTGCTTGAAGTACATCTTATCTATACGGTGAAGATTTTGTGCCTTCAGAATGCCTAAATATATCATCAACACTAAAAAAAAGAAGATGAAGAGTGTAATTTCAATTAAAAGAAAAATCAATACGCTTGTTTTAAACCACATGCCTTGTCAATACATGAGTTGTTAAAAAGTATTTTCTCTCTTAAGAGACATGGGCGATACCATGCCAGATCCTCAACTGGTTACCTAATCCTGCAGAAGACCAGGACCAACACATTCATCACATTAGTCACTCACGGTAATTACTGACTTTCTCAGTAATAATTAAATAAAAAAACCAAAACAACAACAAAACCCCAAAAACCCAAACCCCCAAACATTTGAAAAGGTACACCTGCCTACTGCAAAAAGAAATACTCCTGTTTCTAATTTCCAAAAGGAGCTGAAAATAGTTGCCTATGCCATTTGAAACTGGGCAGGACATTTGTTATAATGGTTAAAAAAGGTAAATTACATCATTTTTTCCTAAGTAGCTTAATACAAGTTTGGCAATCTTTCATCAAAGTAGGTTTTCCTAATTTTTCATACAGTATCTGACTATTAGATATTCATGTCTAACAAATGTAGACAGATTGGACAAGTCCCAGCAAACAATCTGTTAAAAGAAACATAAAGTTTGCATATGGAAAGCAAAGTTGGTTAAACTTTCCCACGATTCCATTAAAGAAAGACAAAAATTACACACCAAAGACAAGGTCTCTCCAGAGAAATGGCAATTCTCCCCATATCTTTCCATCTTAGTCAATGGTTTCGAAGAAACAGAATGAGAAAACATTCGTATTTGAGAGGCCACAGAAGTATTTAACAGCCAACAGTTCGCTATGAGAAAGGATTCCTCCTCCCCTTTAATTTACATGTTTCTTTGCTTGATTTTGGCTGGCATTGCTGAAGAAGCTTAAAAAGAATCTGGTGCTCAAAGCACATTTGAATTTTAATGGATGCTGGGAATTTAATTTCCTCAGGTTTTCTTTGAAAATTCCCACCCTGTAGAGTTTTGTTTTGTTTTTAAATTAAGACATAGACAGGCGGATAAACAGTAGGTATGGGGAACTCAAGTGAGAGCTGTCAGATGTGGCAGTTAACTTGAATTCCTAATTGTACTCAGTCAGGTTCTTATCTACTTCAGTATCAACCTGTCAATTTTGAAAGCAAAAAGCTCAGTATCTCTTCCCTTTCTCTGACTCCCCACCCTATACGGTTGCTTTTACATTTTCTTTCAGCTGCACCTCTCTCTCTTGTGTTACTACACACTCTGAGCAAAAGACTCATTCCCCTCCCCTCTTGCTTCGTTGAGGGCTGAGGAAGGAGAAGAGGGAAAGCCAAGTTCCTCCTTCCCTTGTGCAAGCTGGAAAGACCTGCTCTTGATCCTTACTAGTTTGCATCCTTGTTTCCTCTTCTAAGTTTGAGGTGTCAGACACGCCTGCTTTTCTCTGACTTCTGTCCTGTGTTATTATTTCCCTGCTGTACGACAACTTTAACAACCAGTACTGAAGGCTGAGGAGCTGGGTGTCATTATACAAAACCAGAAAAATACAAACACACAAATATTAACTCAGGCTGATAAGAGTAGTCTGGATTATTTGCCCTGTGTGCTTTTCCAACACGTTTGTAAATATTTCAGTGAAGTACCCTAAAGGAAGAAGGCTAGTCAATCAAAAAAGTGCCCCGTACTAACATGGCACAAAATATCCTTCCTCTACTTTGCACTGTAGAACTTACACTTCCCTTTCTGTTCAAAGACAGAGTAGTTATAAATAACTACTGCAACTCACGCTGGAACTGATGAGATCTCAGTGACTGATAAGGACTTGGTACAGCACAAGCAGTAAAGTTTGACAGCAGTACAAACCACCCAATGATTGCTGGCAATGAAAAACTGTAGCATGATCCATATTGCACAAAAAAAGCACAATCACAACTTTTCTTCCTACATAAGACAATAGCTGGTTATAGGGTGTGTTATAGTGGCTCCTGTTACGAATGTACTTTACAGCACTTGCCCCTGCGACCAAGCTACCTAATAAGCAATCCCAAAGAGGACAATGCCACTGTAATTAACTTTTCTTCTTTTTTTTAAAGGAAACCTGGGGCTACCAAACAGAGTAACAACACTAAAGTCAAGAGTGAGTAGGCCAGAATTCTAAACCAGATAACCAGAAACTTGAGCCTAAACAAAAAATTCCCAAACTCACACAATGTGTACTTGGCATCACGTATTATTACACCGGATTTGAGCAGGGACCAGCATGCCATGCGTGGCTGCTGAAGCTGAATACAGCCGTGCTCCAGAACTGGACTGGTTTGCTTGCAGAGGAGGGAGCAAGTGAATGAGACTGTTTAGGCCATAGAAAGAAGCATGATGAGCAAGGAGTGCACACCCTCCCCTGCAAGGCACAGCTAACGTCTCGCCCATTGTTGCCTTCCCAAGTCAGCAGTTACCATCCCAGGTTGCAACCGTCACCGGTGAGCTCTGCCAGCTTTGCTATAGCTACAACAACCCTAGTTTGGGGCCTTTCATTACAGTAGTCCTCTATCCCTCCTCACCTGTTGAGTCTCAGCTGACAGGTACAACATAGTAGATGCCACTCCATTAATTTAAAAGGAAATTACGTTTCATGTTCACATACTACTGTTGAAAACACCCTTCAAAGAAGAGGATAGTGACTGAAAAAAACCGCCTAAGCCAGTTATTTCATACAAATGCTCTACAAGAATATGACTAAAAATGAACACCAACCCCCTTTATGTGACTCAGCGCTGTCAGACAAAAGCTTCTTCAATGAACTAGGAAAATAAGGAAATCTTTTCAATTAACAAAATTATTTCCCACCAGTAATTTTTAGGCTCCCCCCATCCTGCCTGGAATGTAACAAAAGCATAGCCAGATACTACATCTCAACAATCACCAGGTTGTTAATTTATGATCCTGAACATGCATCTCTGTACCCTGAGATGCTTCATATAGTTGCCCGACAGGTCAAATATATATTACCATGTCATTACCATACCATACAAACAGTATTACCCATACTGTTAAAACAGGGCCGATACTTTATATACAATCATCTAAAAGACACACATATCTATATATTTTCAAATTAAAATAAAAAAGGACACAAGACTTCATAGTGCTTTGGTTCATCAGTTTAGAAATTGCCTTTTCAGATCACTATTACTGAAGGAATACAAAACATTCAGATTAATGCAATACTAGATATTGAATGTTCTTTATATATTAAGGGAATTGGGAAGAAGTCACAAATATATCACTGCTACAAACTTAATCCTATACCTATTCTATAGATTTCACATTAGTAGACACGTTCCTACAGACTTGGGATTTAATTGTTCTTGCAATCTCATATCTTAAATAATTTAAACCCTAAACTTACAAAAGAGTCAATATACACCACAAAACAATTTATAAAGTTCTTAACTACCCCGGTTAGTCACTAAAATCCGTCACTAACACGTTATGCAACTGCTCCCTCTCCTGGCAAAAAGTCCCCACAACACGAACGTACAACAGGAGAGCTCAAGTAGGACTAAATGTGTTATTTCAAAGAAACAGAAGTAATGTTTTAAATCTCTACTTTTTCCAACTAACTAAATTCCTGATATTCACAAAAAGAAAACAATTTAATCCACAAAACCAGAATAAGGCTGAATTTCAGTTTAAAACACAATAGTCCCCATCTTCCTAACTTCCAAAGCAAGGCGCAAATTCTTGTCAGCCTTTCCTTTCACTTCCACTCTTCTTCCCCCAGTGTATTTCTACCTGTACTCATATCTCCAAAACCTTTCAGGTATCTATTTCTAACAGGTTTTGAAAAGACATCAGTTTTTAATTAGACATCAAACATGACAGCTAAGTTGAAGTCTCCATTGGTAAGGCATCTCACCATCCTCCAACATCTCCTCGGCTGTCTGTGGTGTAGTCCGTCACACCATTAAGTAGTGTAGCAAAAATCTGAGTAACGTTATCTTTGCAGACATATTCTTCCTGGGATCCTTCTCCCTTTACACCCATTGTCTGGCAAACCCTTTAAAAAGAGAAAAAGGAGGCGGGAGGAAACTAGTTGCAAGGAGAAACATTAAGATCACAACTTTGTTCTGTTGCTTAATAAAATTCCCCATATTCCCCCAAATATTCTAAATACGTATGGTGTCTCCTACAAACAGCAAGAAGAATATTTCTGAGGCTCCTGTTACATTTGACCTGAGGATTTCGATCAGTGTTCAGGTTTCAAGAAACACTGGCAAGGCTGAGAACTCAACAGTGAAGCAGTTGGTTTTACCTCTGTCGTACTACAAAAGGGAACATGCTTAAAGTGCCTGTCAGTGTCTGAACTCTCCTTAAAATGAAGTCAGCAAGAAGAGCAAAGTACTGTTACAATGTGCATTGATGTTGGTATTAACAAATTTCTTTACATCGAAGAGATGGGGTTTTTTCACTGTTACAGTTTAAGTGCATATATACTATGATCCTATTAACACTAACTACACTGTGGCATGTCAACACTGAAATAATCCTTTAGAGAAACAGCGCCGTTTCCTTAAAACAAATCAATCTACTTATCAAGAAAGTGGAAAAAACACATATTCTTCCACCTCACTAAAGTTCACTAAATTGCAGCCCATGAGAAAGGTGAACTTTAAAATATCCTCCAGCTAGTCAGTTAATCGACTAAAACAAACCCACAACACCATCAGAGTTGTACTCCATCCTCAGATGTGTGATAATCCTCTGAATCAAAGATACATTGAGTAACAGAGATGCATCCAGTCCCACCCTAAAAATGTGTACGTCACAGTGTAACTGATTTCAAGAATCACGCAACAAGCTCAGAACAGAAAGTAGAATCAACAGGAGAAAGCTTCTAGGAAAAGAATTAAAATTAGAGAAAAATAAAGGTGACAAACATACTTTGCAATTGCTATTAGTGCATCTCTTCTGGATGCTGCAAAGCTCATGTTGGCAGGGGAAATTAATGTAACTTCTTTCAAACCTTCCAAAACCTGAAAAAAATATAAAATCCAATGCATTACTTATGATGTTATATGTAGGCATTTTATTAAAATGAGCTCAATCACATATGAGAGAACCAAGCAGGCAACAGTGGTTTCTCTCCAGGACTTGTCAGCATGCCTCACTTTTCCCTTTGGACAAATGTTCCGTAGCAAAGGGATAATTCAAGCTCTGGCTTTTCCATTAACACTAGTAAAGCAGGACTGAACTTTAATTATCAGAACCTATGGCAAGCTAAACTCACGATGATTTTCTGGAGTTACTGTGCATTAGAATGTAAACTCTTTCACAAAGACCTTTAATTATGACATTACTATTTATTTGATTACCATCATAGGTTTAATTCAAAATACCGTGTGCCTTCTTCTCATTACAATGATCATGTTTTCTCACCTGTTGGAGCCTGCCCTTTAGCAGAAATCTTGGAAGTGCCCCAAGAGCTCGTGAAAAGCCACAACGAATCATTTCCTCTGTGTTTTGTAGTTCTGAAATGTACCGTGTCACCAGCTCATCTAGAAAAAAATACAATTGCAGAGTGAAAAGCAACTAACACATCATTATCATTACACATTTGTAATGATACATACACACATAAATATTAACAAAAAAATAAAACAGGAAAAGATCCCCCAAATAGAGCAGCTAGAAAACTTTATAATTCACTAAACTAAAATACAGAATACCTTTCATTTCCTACAGAAAAAAAGATAAAAAATTTAAGATGTTCACTGTTACATGAATGAATTATTTTCTAAATACAGAGTTTTAGACAGATTAATCCCAGTTACTCAAACAGAGAAAAGACAAAGTTCTCAAGTTCAAAAAGTTGTAATGTTTTAAAAATCCAAAGAATAAGCATAAGCACAAATTTCTATACAAACACAAGGGAACAAGTTCTTTTGTATTTATAAGTCATCATTTTCCATAATTAGACAAGCATTCTCTGTTAGGAGAGATGTCTGGATTTTTGAAGGTCAGTTATTCGACAGTTTTAATTGGACTCAAGATTTAAACACACATGCAGATCATACCTAAGCAATGAGACAATTTCGTGTCACTTTCTATATAGAGACAAAAAAAAAATTGGGTGTTTTGCAGGAGAAAGCTCAAGAAGAAGAGACCACTCTGAAGCAGAGACGCTGTGCTCAGATTCTATGCATTGTTACATGACAAAACAGGGACGATGGCTCTACAAACAGTAGCACAGTCAAAAGGCACAAGAATAAATTGAACCGGGCATGGGAAAAGGAGGCTCAACAATGAAGTAAAGTGATACCAAGAAGAAAACGAGGATGAATAAAAAAGAAAAGAGAAAAAAGTCAGGAAACCATGTACATATTTCTGCTGTAGCCTTTATCATAGACTTAACAGACAATACTTCCTTTACCAGATTTTTTTCAGCTACTTCTGTAAAATGCATAGAAAAACAAGGTACGCCAGAAAAGCTTCTAAGAACAATCAAGACAGCTGCAATAAACACAACTCTGGTTCAAAAAGGAGAAAGGTGGTCGGTCTTAGTAATCGCTTTACCAAACATGCACTTTTCAATCCTCAAAGAAAAAGAATCAGAGATCCTAGGAAAATTACATAATTGTGTCATACTGTCATCTAAGACTTAAATGATTTAGCAATATTTACAAGAGGAAGAGAGAACAGTTACCATAAGAACCGACATGTGAATTATAACTCATGACTGACTTTTTTTTTTTTTTTCCTTAAACCCCTGTGCAATCGGCAGGCCTCAACTAGTTCCTCACATCAGGAAACTAGGTCCCTGTCCAGAAGTTAGCAATACCTTCATATAAGCACATCTATTATTTTAAAATTTCCAAACCACTGGAGTGTAAGATAGAGTCTTGAGGCCATAGGAAGATGCAATGCTTGCTTAGACAGCAAGATGACCTCAGACAGTAAGCCTATGACAGTCTTCCCTTACATTGCTGTAAATTTAAGATTGACATTTTAGCCAAATTACTTAAAATTAAGGCATGACAACTAGCAAATGAGCAGCTCTTTACTTATAACTACTTCGTAATTATGCTACTAAGGGTAATGCAAATGTTAATATTCTTCTAAGAGTCTTCAGCTTCATAAAACAACATGGCCTATGAAGTATCTACAATATTAATTCAACACAACCCATCCTGAAAGAATACTACAAGAGAAAGTCATCAAAACCAAACCAAAACATATTAAGACAGGAAAAAAAACCACCAACAACAAAAAAAACAACTGAAAGAAAAGCTGAAAACAAACAGCAGCAAAAGAAGTGATTCCATAAATTGCAGACTTATAAGGGCAGATTCAGAATGCTGAATCACTCGATTTGTGTTTTCATTGTAATCTGTCCAGCCACAATGAAATACTGATTAAATTTTACCAAAAGCTCCCCCTGTCCCCCTAATCCACTTAATCATGTTTAGACCTGCTTTAACTGACTTAGACTCTAAGGCACTGCATTGTCATTGAATGTCTTCTGCACTGTAGCTTCCACACATACGGGCATACATCAGACATTAGGAGAAGGATTTTTAGTAGTGGATTTCAACCCCACAACATACAGAATTCAAAGGGTATAAAATGCATAGTTTTTATTGGCATAGAGATTAAAATACATATTGTTTTCTCTTTTAAAGGATGCTTGCAAGTATAACGGCACTTTTGTTACCATGTGTGGAAGAGGCTTTAGAGCAGTACAAGGCCAAATAAAAGCATAATCAAGACAAGCTGACTAAAGATTTTCTAGAACAGAAAAATTTCCAACTCACAATTCTATTCTCTAAATCATTCCAGAAAGTCTGATAAAAAAAATTTTGCCTGTATCTACAATCTGACTCTAATTGCATCCCTAGACTATCATGGCTGCATCACCATGATTCTTTCACGCAGAAGTCAGGTGAAAAGTTAACCTAGAATCCTGGAAAAAACAACCTAGCTTCATAGGCATCTAGAAGAGTACAGCATCAGAACAGCTGCAGCATGTTCTTCCAGCAGCTCATCTCTCCCTCTTGAGTCTGACATCTGGACAAGTTTTCTGAAGCCTGAAACTTCATCCTTACGTAAAATGTGCCCTGTTAACCTTTGAACTCGTTTTTACATTGCTTGCTTTGATTCAGCATTGTCTCCTCCTGCCCAAAGTGTTCTGTTTTTACAAAACATTACCATACCTTATCACATCTTCCCATGCTGCCCACAAAACATCAGGCATGCAGTGCCAAGCTGCATGAAGGAAACTGCTATTTTTGGAAACTTTTTTTTTTTTTAAGAAAACAGTAGAGATTGAGCAATATAGAAAAGATTTAAAAATCAAGATAGGCTGGTTTTATACACCAGCCATAACTTCTTTGGGGCATGGACTGATTGCATGTTACTATGTATGTGACAGGTAACAAGTTCATTATGGGATCTACCATAATAGAAATAAATAATAAGGTATCCTGTTACCTGATTTAGGAATGACTTAGTAATGAAAAAAAAAAACATTATTTTATTAAGTATATGTAATTTCACTGTCATATTTAAAAAACCGAGAACATAAATGTTGTAATTCTTAAAATATCTATCTATACAATCCAGCACTCTGTCTCTAATGGACACAATACAATTCAATACTTGAGACAAAGAAAGGTCCAAGATAGGCCCCTAACAAAAGTTTAAGCCTACTCCTGTACCACTGATTCAAATCCACAGATGAGGTTCATATGCACGTTTACAAGAACTCTGGGTGTCCTTGCTATCTTCTCCTCTTATCCCTAAACAATTCTTCAAGTCAGACACTATCTCTGGCATACAGTTTATCAAAACATGATGTGAAAATGCCTTGCTGCTTTAAAATGTATGATTTGCCACAAACAGATATTCTTTGCTTCTTTGTTTTACAGTATGGACTAGAAAAACAACCTGTTTTTCCTAAAATTCATTATTATGATACCTTGTATTCACCTCCAGTCTAAAACAAGCAAAACCCCTGAGACATCTCCTAGACTTTCAGTTGGCTTTACCATTCTTTCCTGAAGCATTTTAAGGTCCTTTAACGTTAGTGATGCTCCTCCCCATTCTATTCAATAGCTCCAAAGTGCAAGTTAGGTCCAGCCCAGTATTTTCTGCCTCTACTGTAAACATGAGTCATTACCCTGTAGAGCTGGATCAGCTTCTCCCTTTTCATTGATGCAATATTCATTACACAGCGCAGCCAGTGCAGAGACTGCAGACTCCTGTAACAAAGGCAAAACTGTGAACTTCATATATTTATCATAAAGTACAACCTTAGTAATTGTGCTTAGAATTAAAAGGTTAAGGAAAAAGAGAATGGATTTAAAAAAAAAAAAAATCATTCCCTTCAGCTACTGACTTTTACTTTCTTATTTCTTCCCAATATTGGTTTAAGAACAGTTGAACAGGAAACCTATCTAAGAAAAAAAAAAAGGTTCTACTCTTACTCCTTCAAAAGTACCAGTAAGCTAAATTAACACTTAAGACAATAGTAATGTATCAACTGTATTTTCAGTTCAGTTGAAAGACCTCCAGGAGGACACAGTATTACAAAATACAGAAGTCATTATTTCATCTTCAATACATTGATGCCAGATTGGTAAGAAATGAACCATATTTCCCCAGAAAGCTATAGAAAGGAAAAGGAAAAAAACCCCATGGACTGAAGGTTATAAACAAACCCCCCAAAATATCCAGTAGCACAATCCTTGTGTCTCACTCTTAACTGGTTTAGAAAAGGATCAAAGGTTGTGTATTACGCCTGGACCTCCTAATCTTTAGAGTGGTTTCAGTCACTGACACAGAGCACAAAACTAATACAGCTGCTATTTCAAAAAGCATGTAACAAGTTTTCTCACAAAATTTATGGCTGAATTATATTTTTCAGCTAATAATATAATGCTGACCAAATTTATAATAAATTTGAGAGCCTACAAAACCTATGCACCGTTCACTCTGTATTAACAGCCATGATACCTATCGATACTCATGTTCTCCAGGTACAGGAAATCTTAACTGATAACACAGGAATCCTGTACAGCCTATTCATTCCACCCTCAAAGACACCTCAGACTTGTTCTCTATGCAAAATCAAGGACTTGAAAGAAAACCAGTATTCATCTAAATAATATTCTAACTACCACAGGCATTATAGTAGCAAAATATACAGAATTATCTAATTGCTGTAGATCATCTAATAGTTTGGGCTGGAAGGGGCCTTTAAAGGCCATCTAGTCCAACCTCCCTGCAGTGAGCAGGGACATCTTCAATTAGATCAGGTTGCTTAGATCCTCCACTTCCTAAAGAGAATGGTTTTCACCTTAAATGCATGAATTTACATTGGAAGAGTATACTCTATGTCAGAAAAAGAGATTACTTTTCAATGTCTTAAGCATTGCCTTTGAAATTATTTCTCTCTAAAATATATACAGAAATCAAATGAGAATTAACATTTACTAAACCTACTTTGTTCAACATTAATTCATGTTAACCAAACAAGTAAAAATTCTCTAAAGTCTGTAATTAATTCTTCTAAGCTTGGTTTAGAAGTTCAGTTATAAGACATACAAATTCTTTGAATAAATTGCTAATGCCAAGAGAATATTCCAAGAATTCAAATTTCATCTTTTAATTTTCTTCAGTGATTTGGATATGTTCTAGTCCACTCTGTCTTCCAAGGAAGACTTTCAATGAGCTATCAGATACTTGCAATGGCCTTTTAATCTCATTTTTAAAACCTAACAAAATGAACACAATATGTTATATTCAAATTGTGTCTGTGATGGTTGTAAGTTCTAACAGGGCAGACAAAAATTGCCTTTATAATTCAGTAGAGCCTTTAAGAAAGCAAGACGAACACTCATGGTATTACTCAGGAAAATTAAGGCAAATAACTGGAGGTGTTCAGATCATGTACATAAAATAGCATGAAACATATCCATAAATGGATTTAATATTCAGAATTAGAGTAGCTCGAGAGCAAAGTGAAAGGATTTGCAACAGAGTTTAATAGAAAATTTAAGCACTATGTCCTGAATAACTCTGGTTGATCACACCAATGTTCTCACTGTTTACAAACATGTCCTCAGTACATCAGGGCTGAGGACATCATCCAGAGATTCTTTTTAATTCTCATAAAAGTTTTCTGAAACTATCAAAATCAACATCTCTTACATGTATTACAGGTACACCAAAACGGACACAAAATGTCAGGTCAATGTAACCATACAGCCGACCGCAAGTAGCTTCAAGCAACCACCAGTGACTACTCACCACCGCCAGCCATACAAGAACAACCTTTGTGATAGCTGTTCAAGTATTAATCAAAAAGGTCCATTTGAATTTTGAGGAATTCAAATTTTTTTTAAAAAAAATAACCCTTCTTGCCAATCTAAGAAGCAGGCATTCAAGAAACAGTTAGATTCCACGGAAAATAATCCTCCAACAGAAAGAAAACATATTTCTAATTCTGTATTTAATATTAATCTTCCACATGAAGAAGGAGGAACTGTTGTACCTTTATATGCTGTTGTGCAGTGCTTGAAACATGAGGGAGACTTCTTAGACTGTCATTTATTAACCACTGCCAGCCACCTGAGTAAGGAACGTAAGTGGTATTAATTTTTCTTACTTTCTGAACTTCAGCATTCTCTGTTTTATTACAAAGACCAGCAATTATACCTATTGATGTATTTCCTTGGTTTTCCAAATAAACAAGGTCGTGATTCTCAATTAGTATAGCTATTCTACTTTGGTTTACAGTGTATATAGTGCAAACTCTGCTTGTGGTGATGCTGAAAACTTGACAGGAAAAAAAAACCCTAGTAAACAGCCAAAAAACAAATCTTCAAATAACATCATCGTTTCTTTGGTGTATTTATGTTTCTTTTTGCGTTTGCAGTATTTGTGTATCTTTTTGATTTTTTTTTATTTGTTAGGCCAGCCAAACCTTGCTAATCTTGCTTCTTTGAAAAACATAATTCATCAATACTTCAAAGAATAACAACTAAGATAATTAAAGGTTATTTAAAATATGACATACCGATTATTGGATCTCCTCTAAATGGCATTTTTGATAGTGACAACTTTTCAATTAAAGCACAGACTGTAAGAAAATAAACAAGATAACTGGATAAATACAAAAAAAAAGAGAAATTGCAGCAATTTTGAAGATACGATCACATCGAGTTACATCAGCATTAATTTTAAATTGAAGAAAATTTGCAAATAGAAGTCCAAAATATGTGAAAATAGAAACAGAGGAAATTACACTTATGATTCTTAAATACAAAAAAAGCTACTACGCAGTATCTGACACTAGTTAGCCTCATCATTCACGCAAATCCACTGTTTGGCGGCATGTTTTTCCCCCTGTGCCATTTGAGGTGCATACGCACAGATGAGCCACCCTTCTGATTCTCTACCAGTCTGTAAATGGCGACATAGCATCACTGATACAAGGACAATACTACAGCCACTAAAAAAACTATTAAAATATATATGAAAGGTTTGCCTACTGCTTATTAGCATTTATTTTGGACCTTCAAGGAGTGGCATCTGTTCACTGCACAGAGCTATAAAACAGGATGCAGCTTTATTTCCTTTGATATTCATAATATGAGAAAATGTCATTTTAATAATTAAGTCCTTACTATTTTAAATCTATAAAATTAAATTAGTTCTAAGCTTACAAAACCACTTTCAGAATAGTTTTTTTTTGCTGTTTAAGGGAACGGAGATTAACACAGCAAACATTGCAAACTTTTACTACATGATAGATCAACTGTATTGCTCAAATGAAAACTCAGCACTTGGGGAATACAATATCTTTCCCCTCCTGGTGATCAGTTCAAATAAAACAGATTGGTATACAACCATCCGCACTATCTGACTGCTTTAGAGCTGGTGGAGGGTTGGTGGAGAGGAGGAGGAGAACAGAACAAGCTACTATATAATGCCACCTTTTTGTTTTCCTCTCCTCCCAGAACTTAATCTTTGAATCTTACTCCAGGCTCTGTACACAGTTCATCTTCTTCATTTATAATCAACTTACTGGGCTCCAAATCCACTCTGGAATTCAGTCCTCACTATGGTAATGTCATATAATCAGGCTCCCTGTGCTTAAACTCCATCCATTACTGTATGTCAGGTTCTTTGTTCTAGTATTTACTCACAGACAAGTTTAAGTACAATGTGACTAAACCCAAGTCTCTTGGGGTTCCTCCTCAGTTCTCTAGGCTTCTTTATGCTCTATTGTGGTTGAGACCATCATCTTCATTAGACATGCAGGCAATTTGTGGAACATTTTCAATTCTTCTCTTATTCCACCTACACAGTTGTATCATGCCAAAATACTGTCATTTGTTCTTCTCCAAAACGATGCCATATTCAGCTCCTTAAAAGCTAAAACATATTACAAAAAACCTACCTATTCTTCCAGCCTCCATTACCATGTCACAAGACTGTAAACTCCTTCAAAGACTACAGAAACCCCCCTGTCCCATCACCCCTTCTATTTGACCACGTTTTCATCTTGGTACTGACACTTCTTCACCCACTAAGTTTGGATGGCTTCATATCTTCAAAGCCACAAGCTGCTACGTGGCACTTCTTTATTCAACCCATGAGCAGGAAACTCAAGTTGGCATCATTTCCTTATCCACTCAGGCTACCTGAATGGACACTTTTTCCTGCAATGCCCTTCCTCTTTACAGTGGTTCTGTATATAATAATCTTCAAAATTCATGTGAACAACCCATCATCTTTTCTGTGACACCACCCTTTCCACAAACTCTTGTTTATACTGTCTTTTTTCTTCACCTTTGCACACACATATATTATGATAAAATCACTAGTTAGATGATGGCATTTGTCTTAATGGACAGATCATAACTGTTCTGGAGAGGAATCTGAGTAAATCAATAAAGGAAGCCAATTCAACCCTGAAGAAAGCTGACTGCGTGCAACAATGGAAGCAGAGAATGTGTGACATAAACCCAAGAACTATCTCCAACTCTTACACAAACAGGGTTATTCACAAGTGCACCAGCAACCAATGTTCCGATGTACCTGTCTTCTGACTGGCCTCCAAAATTTGTATTTTTTTTAATTACTTTGCATACTTTATTTATGCATTCAACACAATATATGCAAAACGAACTGGAAAAAAGCAAACAGAAAATTCATGACTGTACATTTTCTGTTTTCACACCACAGCTGCAATACTTACCAGCTGGTCTCATCAGTTCTCCACCTAAACCCCTGCAAAGAAGAAACAGAGCCTTCAGAAAATAACCTACCACAAGCAATCTTGAGTGCTTTGCCTAGTGACAAAAAAACCCTCAAAACCATCTCAGAATGAAAGCAGATCACAAAATACCTGCAGTTCTGTATTTGACCAACTATAAAATACTTCTTTGTAAATCAACTGTTGTCTTGACTTCAGCGTGACTTACACAAAACCTTCCTCAACATTTAACTTCCTTCTTGCAAAAATGCGGTCCCAGTCTTTCTGATTTTTAATGTGAATAATAAGATTGCCAATTTCCTTCTGCTTTTCTTTTCACTTGCTTCAGAAGCATTCCAAACCCGTGGGACTTGCCACAGGACTTTTCAGTCATGCAGCCTCTATGAGCTTCTGACTTCCACATGCAATCTTTTAACAAAATCTTCATCTCTGGAACATTAAATAGAAACTTCACTTATCAGTTCCCATTTTCACAAATGTTAACTGGTTTACTTTCCTGGCAAAGTTTCTCACCCTTCACCCTCTCCTTCCTTGCTAAAGCCCCCTCCCAGGTGATTTTGCATTTATCACTGCAAGTGAGGGGGTAAAAACTTCCAATACATCAGGAAAGGGAAAGAAACAAATGGCTCAAGATGCTTCAGACCCTCCTGAAGCAAGTGTGTGTTACATAAGGGTGGCTCACCAGCTCACAGCTCAGGCTTATCCAGCTCAGTTATCTGTCTGAACTGGGAAGACAGTGGGCAGAGGGAGATGTGTCCTGAAAAGGGCAGGGCCTGTTTCCATTCTTCAGCCTCTCACGTCTCTGGGCAGAGCAGTGCCTCCTCACCCCGCTGAGCAACGTCTGCTGGTTACACGGATATCCCCAAGGTGCCGTGAGCACTGCTTGGGGTGTTCTGCTCGGTGTCACCCTCTGTGGCTTAATTTTTCCATTTTATGAACCTTTGACCCTTGCCCTTCCTTTGGATATTTCCTCCCTCGACTCCTTATTCTAGTCTCCCTTCACTTCTGCTGGAATATTTCCTCCCTGAGGTGTGCCAAACCCTTAATCACCTGTTTGTATGGCCATGCTCTGGCAGAAACTCCCAGCAAGGGGGAGGAACAACAAAGGCTTTTTTGTTTATTTGCTTGGGTTTTTTTTTTTCTTTTAAAAAAACCTTTTCTCCCCTCCTCTCCTCCTCCCTCCCACAATAAAATTAGTAGCTATGCTCAGAAGGCAAACTTAGCAACCCTAACAACTGTTAGAACTTTGTTCTCCAATTCATCCTTTAATATGAGCTTCAAAAGCCTAAACATTTTAAACAAGTTTTTCCATTCCATACAAGTAGGTGCCTCCTGTAACATGCACTGGGTTTTTGACTGCTCAACATTTTCATTGGTTTTTCAGTAATGCAGAGACGTCAACTCCACAATATTCTCATCTGCCATAGATTAGCACTTCCTTTAATTGGGAAACTTTTGCTTTTGACAATCAATATATTAAGCTCAATGTAATAATCCACAGCTCAGTTTATCATCATATGAAGCAAGCACAGATTCCACATCCCCATGATGATAAGGTCTTTGCATTATCCATCCCATCTTCCTGCCATGTTGTCTGCTGCCCAGCTTCTAAAACATTTAAATTAGAAAACAAAGAAGTGATGCAAGGACTGAAGACAGCGGCAAAAATAGAAGAATGATGTGGCAAGGCTTGCTTCCTCTTCAACGTTTCTTTTCCCCTCATCTTGTCCTCACCCATTCCTTGCCTTTTGTGTGTTGTCTTACTGCAAATGAGTATAAAATAATGATCTTGTAAATTTGTTTGGTGTGCAACAGAGTCTGCTGATGCAAGGATTCAGATACAGACTTCTGTTCAAACTACAAAGCAAGAACTGAGTCATAAAGGCTGCTCTTCTCCACTTCTTCACACTGCCAATAAGGAAGTCAGGCCACTTAAAGCTACTCTTATGTTAATAATTTGACAGCTATCCCTTCCTTTGGCATTACATCAACTCAATTTAATTTCAGAGTTTAAAGCTTAACTGAGGATTGTTGTCCCTGTGCAAGAATGAAGAATGGTGACAGTAATTTGCATAGGAAGATTTCCACGTAACACAGAAACTATAATCAAATCTATCTTTGAAGGCACTGTGACACCATGTGTTCTCCTCCGCAAAACTTTTCAAGTTATTTCTTGCCTAGACATCACAGTATGTCCATCAATATATCTAAAATTTTTCCCCTTTCCACAGTTCATACATATTTCAACTTTAAGAACCGAGAATTCTATCATAATCCCAGATCTTTCCTCAGTCAGTGTTTAGTTTGTCAGACATGATGTGCATCTTTCTATTAACTTTATCTCCCTCTACAGTATTTCACTAAATTAAAAAGATACGGATCTACCTAATTCAGAGATTCTGAATTTTGCTGTACAGTCAGTATTCTCTCTTTTTTCTTCTGAAGACACATCCACAAGCTGCATCACATTATTAGATGTACCTGTTTCAAGGTTTAATTATTAATTCAATTTGTAAATTGACTGATGCAATGCCCAGGTTCCATGAGCTCCTAAGCATTCCTTCCTATGTGCAGACACAGCAATGATTCTCTCCTAGAAACATCCTAGGATAAGTCACAATTTAGTTGTAGAAAATATAATCAAAATGTATAATATCCCTTGTAGAACCGCTGAATTAAGATTACGGACCCAAGAATGCTGGTATCTATTTTAAAATTTTGTAGGTCTGAATCAGAACCAATGACAGTGCTGTCTTCAGCGCATATAGAAGTCCAAGGTACTTTTGTGGATAAATTTTTTTTATTTACTTAAAACCTGTTTTTTGTAAGAAGTTCAGAATTCATCCAATTGCAAATACTCAATTCCCAGGCAGCTAAGAACATCTGCTGAATAAGTATTTTCATCTCCATATGAATAGTAACCAATTATTTTCCATGGGAACTCTGTCCCAAATAGAATTGAGGTATCTTACAAGGTCCAGGTTGTACACTTACTGGGCTCCAGAAGTACAAAATGGCTTTATCACAAGGTACACAGAGGAGGAAAGAGATACCTTTGAGCACAGATGAAAAAGCCTGTGTATTTAATAAATAAATACTTACGGTCATTCCTTGAAGATGCAGAGAATAAACTATACTAAGCTGACACCTATTTTTAGGTTACTGTAAATTCATATGCTGACCATACACGTTTTGTATTGTATGCTAACAGCAGAAGAACACAGGTGAAATCATGGCTCTATGGAAGTAAGAGTTTTCCCAGTGACTTTGGTTAGCAGCAAAAGAATTTCACCTTCTAACTCTTCAGAACATAGTATAGCACAATCTCCTAGAGCCATCATGCCACTAGATGCAAGAAATAATTTAAATTTGGAAGAACTGTTAAGATGAACTTTGTTGCAAGGCTGGAATTATTTGCTGATTAAGCTAATATGCCTAAAAAACTCTTTTACGTAGATGACTGCCAAGAAACACATTTGCCCTGAAGCCATCAAGGTTAGTTGCAACCTTACAGGTCTTTGAAATGAGACGAGTTTCTCTTTTGCCTAGCGCCCGTCAACACCTACAGGCTACCTTAATCTTTTGGAAAAGTTGAAACTCCAAAGATGAAGGTGCAGCTTACACTGACTACTGTTCTAAAAACATGAAATTGCTCGTCTCATGTAGCTGACCGTGTAATACACACAGACAGTCTCCTCATATGTTACAAGAACGAGATTGGAGCAAAACTCAGCACACAGCACATTGCACTACCTGAATCACCCAGTGTGGGAGTCGCCAGCACACACAGCGCATCCTCTCACCCAGCTCCGATGGGAACCCTGAAGGCCCAATAAACAGAACACTTGCTGAAATACAGAAGCGCACTGCAACTACCTGGAAGAAGCCCAGCATATCTATCTCCAGCACTTCCATATCCGTCCCTAAATTATCTTGTTACCCAACTCTGTGTATTAAGACCTACATTATCAGACTCAGAACTGGCTACAAGAAAAGAGGTAAAAAAAATTCTGAACCTATTCAGCTGAATATTCAGTCAAGAACCTTGTATCAGATGATGCACTTTTGAAGAATTTTAACAGAATTACTATTAAAAAATACTTTTCTCTTGAGGACTTTTCCTATTGAGAACCAGTACAAGGTCTTAGATGCACTACAGAAATATGTCCTACAAAAAAAAATACTAACCATGCTGGTTCAGTGGGAGCATAATATAGATCAGGCTGGCCACTAACACCGTGTTTCAACTGGCAGACTGACTTCCTATCCCAAGTAAGACAACTTAAGGCAACAGATGCCACAAGTTTTTGTCTTTTATATACAAAATTATATAAACAAAAGTTTAAAGCAAATAAAATATATAGCTTAATTTTAGCTATATAGCTATAATATATATAGCTAAATATATATAGAGAGAGCACGCTATAAAATAGCTCTATAACCCGTATAGCACAAAACAGGCACAACAGACAAACCCTCTGTTTAAGTGGCATGGTCTGCATATGACTTGCTACAACTAGTGCCCATTTAACACAGAAAATCAGGCTCACTGCGCAATACTCAACTGGAAGTGCACATGCAAATGCTTAAACCAACCAGCTCCTCAAGACAAACTAGTGCATCAAATGTGTCAGAATCGAGACTAATGGAAGGAAGTACATACTGATGTGCCTGGGCTTGCATTCTCCTTTTTCAGCGTACTATGGTAAACCCAGAAAAGCACTTAGACAGGAAGACAGAAAGATACTTGCATTTTTAAAAAACTGTTAACACAGTAGAGGACAGGATTTTCTACAATTAGCATTAGTAAATTTGATTGCTTCAACTTCACTCAAAATTGAGAGACTGTGCAGCATTACTCAAAACTTGGACTCCATCCTGACTGAAGAATAATTGATGGCCATCATTCAAAATCAGGTTAAAGGCATTACAAGAGCTGCTAAGCAATGTAAGATGATTAGTTAAATATAGGTGTCCATTACAGCACTTTGGCTTTATCTTTTTTTGACTTGAGATTGAGGACTCAATGGAATCCTAAGCATTAGACAATTAAGAAACTCACAACCCATCTTCCAGCTTAAAATTCATAAATTACAACTTTAAAAACTCCCAAAACACCACAACATTTTTACACTTTACTTCCTTTTCCCTTTTTCATAGGCCAACGCAATTCTGAAAACAGCTTCATCAAAGCAATAAAATCCATTCAGTCCACAAAAAGACAGCTATTTTGCTGCTAGAAGTGAAAGCAAAATATCTAATAAACATGTGGCCTGATGCTTTTTGTTAATGCAGTTTTAAAACTAGAAACTCAAATAAAACACATAGGTTTTCAACATTCCTACAAGATGTTGTTACACTGAAATCCCGGTAGCAATTTCTCAAATGGAAATCTTTGGAATATTATGTGCAATAATTACTCATCACGAAACAAGTTTGGCTTGTTTCACTAAATGCTTGCCCAGCAATACTCAAATTGCTGGTTTGTTTTTATAACCTAGTTTATTTTTCTTGTCCTGTTTTAAAATATTTTATGCATACCAATATTTTAAAATATGAATTATAGTAGACATCTGTCTCAGCCTAAGTATGAGAGTAAACAGCAGTGAATCAATTTTGCTTGGAGTTGAATTAGAAGTCTTATCTAGAATGAAAACATTTCTGTAGGCATCTTATAAATACCATTAAGTGCAAGAAGTGCACATTATGACAAAAACAAATTACACCCAAGCTCCACCCTGACATTAAAGAATTTATGGGAGCCAAGACAGCCACCCACAGAGACACTAATATTCAGTATCAGCATTAAAACCATCTGCCAGTACGAGCTAACTTTGGAGTGGAAGTTTCACATCAGTATGTACGACCCTCAAGAAGTTAATTTTAATATTTTTTTCAGAAAGCTTCAGGATACAAAAACATACACAAAAATTCCTTAAATTAATAATAATAATTACACAAAAAGTTTTATTGTTTTCCTATATGTCATGCGCAAAGAAGTGAACTAAACTGCTCAAAGAGTTTGTCAGTTAAAGCAGGAAAATCCCCTCATTCACATACACAATCATTAGGAATGCAAGTCATAGGTTTTGTGATCTTTAAATTTAGGAATAAACTCTGAAGTCATGTACCAATTTTAATTCACATTTACTTAACAGTTACTTGGGCATACTCCCTTTATTTCCTGGAAGCTTCAATAAATAGGAAATGAAAAACTCAGTGAAAACTCGGATACATTTTCTTTGGTGCAAGAGTTGAAAAATTGCATTGAACCTTTTGCAATACTGCTGGCCTACTCAGTACACGGGATAAGGAAAGTAATTGTGGAACTTAGATAGAAGCTCCTTTAATAAATAAATAGATAAATAAATTTTGGACTCATTAACTTATTAGTTAAAGGTCATTTCTATAGACCTATTTGAACCAAACAAGTACTACAGTACAGGTGAATAATGGGAAAGAAATCCATGACTCACTGCTGAAGTCAGGGATTAGTGAGCCTATTCTGTTTCACATTCTTTCCTTTCTTTAACTGTCTCTATCCCAATACCGAGCCAAGTACTTACCACTTTCCCATTAATCTACCATGCCTGTGAGTCGCACTCTCTAAACACCACCACCACCATTATAAGACGACATCAGCCTGTGTAATAGGTAGACAAAGCCAAAAGAATGCATGCACTTGCATTCTGATGAGCTGTGAGACTGGCAGTCTATGGTAGGTGTAACTAACTTGCACCAACCAACAAACCCCCTAGGACCCTCCTGTTTTCATTACTTCTAATTGATACTTTCCACTACGAAAAATAGGTTTTTTCCATCCATTTTCTTACCTGTACAACTGACGACTGCAAAGCTGGGGGAAAAAAAAAAGCAACAAACATTGATATCAGCACAGTTTGTTTGATAGAAAGCGTTTTCATTTTTCCTCCTCGCATGCAATGTCTACATCCTGTGAGCTATGCAACACTCTGGATTATTTTAAAAGTAAAATTCAAAGGAAAAATCTTTCTTAAAAACTCTCTCTATACCCATTCAAATTCTACATTCAAAGAAAATCAATGTAACACATTCATAAAGAACTAGTTTTCTTAATTCCAAATCCTAGCTACTCCTGCACATACTCTGGAAGCTAGTTTGGCTTTTTAAAATAAAATTGCTTTCCACAGTTGGGCCTTTTAAAGTTATTATATACTGCATTGTCTGAAAACTGATTTTATATATTGTTAGCCACAGATTAAACAGAAAAAAACAAATATTCAAATGTGACTGAAAAATATTATCTCATTGTTAACATTACAGTAGGCCTCCTTGAAAAAAACAGAATTATCAAATTTCTATGTAGTAAAAACCCCAAAAAACAGATTTTAAAAAGAAAAAGCTTACATCGACTTCGCAGATTAATTGTAAGAACAGACAACAACAGAAACTGTAAAGTGTTGTAACAAATCAAGGCCACTGTAACAGTACAGATACTGCAGATCAAGCTTTCAGGCATTTCGACATGACAAAATGAAACAAGGACAAAGATGCTTTTTCAACCTGTAGCAGCAACTTTCACCTATGCCCAGAATTAAGCAAGCACCTATGTACTTTAAAGCATAATGGGTAAATGGTAAAGCCTGACAGCTTTAGCACCTCGGAACCGGGACTAAAGGGACTATAGATACTGCAGAAAATAAGTGGGAGCCTGAACGCTGAAGTATTGTCTGTTCCACAAGGTGAAGAAATAGGAGCCAAAAGAAAAAGACAACAGCATGGGACGACTTCAAATTAAAGGGACAAGTTAGGCAAAATTAGCTCCGTAGAAGCATTTTTAATTTCTGTGAGCAAGACAAGACTTCATTCGTCATAAGCAGAGATAAAGACAACACATCAGCTGAAATACAGAATATGACTTTCAAGGTAAACAGGTAAATCATGGATGCAAGAATTTAGCAATGAAATCCCAATAAAGTAAAAAAAAAAAACCAAAAACCAAAAAACAAAACAAAAAAAAAACAGAAAGAAGAGAGAGTGGACTCACTAGGAGATCTCTCTTGAGCACAGTCACGTTAAGGCAACAGCCATACATCTCTCTGCAAGACCAGTCAGAACATACAGAAAGGCAGAAGAAACAGAAGGGGAAAGAAAAACAAAGCCAAACCCCAGGCAGTGTTGCAGAGGTGCAACTGACAGCACCAGAGCAAGTGGCAGAAGAGAAAGGGACCAAATACAAAACTATACCAGAGTAAGACACATGGCCAAAGACACCCAGCTATCAGACAGTCTGGAGTGTGTGTCCAAAGCCATATCTGCGAGACGGTTTACTTTGGGCAAGGGGAAGAGGAAGGTGGAGAATGGCTGTCTTAACCGTAAATGTTTGTTTAAAGACAATGCAACATACCAGGTTAAAAGATACATTTATACTTGCTACAAACCTCTTGATGGATTTGCTTCAGTCCCTCCAATGATTTTTCATCGAAATAATATGTTATAGATCTGTAAACGTATACAAAATTTTTATGACTGGTTTCCTAATCATGCTATAAATAAATTTTCTTCTATGACTTCATTGTACTTTCAAACAGAAAAACAATCAATTGCTCTCCAAATTATGCTCAACAGAAATATGAAATATTTAATTTTAAATAGTTCAGCAAACATAATAACACAAATTCTTTCTTATGCAGCAAACTCATTCTTAAAGGACTATAAAAAATTAGTGTCACTTACTAATAACATTTTAATCAGCTATACACCAACAAGTCTTCTCAGCTCAGTTGTCTTTTCGGGCTCCAACACTTTGGTGATTTTTCCCTCAACTTCAAGTACTTCTTACTATTAAAAATGCTATACATCTTTTTCTCTACCTTTTCAACTTACTTGAAAAATGAACTCTTAAGGTTAACACAAATTCTTTTGATAGACACTGTTGGTGAAAACAAGTGCTCTTTGTCACTAAATTAAAGCCATAAAAATCAGTGCACATTATTTGAATTCGTATCAGTATATTTAGCTCATACAAACAATGACAACATTAAGTTTGTTAGATGTCACCACTTTAGACATCTTTGTAGGACTGCATCAGAATGTTCCCAGAAGTAAAATAAAAAAGGTTAATCAGACAGTAATTACCCAACTTGTAAAATGAAAATAACCCAGAAAGTCTGTCTGCTTTTATTAAATATATTTCTTCAGTGTACACATATCTATGACTCGGGCAGAACTGTATGTGTTTCCAGTGAAGACTGCACTCTGTAATCTTACTTTCCACTGCCTTGACCTTAAAGAGCCTCTCATCCCAATTTAAGTCACTCCAGTATAAAATTCTACTGCTAACGTTAACTTCCAAACACGAGTTTTTGCAATACAGATTTTCAACCATATTTCTCTTTTGCTTGTTGTGAAAGAAAGAAAAGGTAAAGGACTCATTTCTTTAATCACAACATTAAAGCAAAGACATCTCCAAATAATTTTGTCAATTAGTCTAGCTACATCACCTATATGCAATACGTGTGTGTGCACACATACAGACACCCATATACACACATATCTATCTATCTGTATATGTATATCTGGACCAGCATTCAGCAGCAACAAATAAATCCCATCCAACTCAACAAGCTGCTTGAGGAGGTTATTTCTCCAACACTGAGGACAAAAGACTGTTCCCTCACCAGGAAGACAGCATACTTATGGGGAAAGGGGGTTTAATCTATATTTAAATGGTAACTTTGAACTCTCCAAGTAAGGCAGCAAATGATCTTACTTTTCTGGTGATGAATTTAGACTTAAGTTTATAACATCACTGAATAAAATGCGAAGGCTTGGCATGACTGATCAAAACAAGCAAAAATTCAATGGAAAAGAAAGTTCAGTAAGATGGAGATTTCCATAATTATACTCAGGAAGCTTTCAATTGACCAGGCAAGAAAGGAAAATTTATAGTCAAGATAATCTTGCATTTATACCTATTATTCTCTTCTGCTAGTTTACACAGTGCATGGGTGATCTCAGCACAGGCAAGAATTGCCCCATGGCGTGTATGCAGATCTGTGCCCACTGATAAAGGCAGAAGTCTTGGCAAAACTGAAAGAGATTAAATAATTATTCTTTTAAAGACAAAGCACAGTGACAGACCACAGTTCTAAATGTAATCATGTCTGCCTAGAAATAACATAGGAAAACCATTTTTGGAAAGCCAGGCCAAGATATCCTGGCCATTACACGAGAACCAAGTTTTAAAAACATAAGTAAATTCTGACAAAACATACTAAGCCACACCAAGAAATTTTGTACTCACAACTACCTCCCTGTTTGGTGTAAATAAAATAACATACTTGCTATTAGGCATGGGGCTGGCTGAGTGGTAAGGGAAATGAGGCTTGTACTTCCATATAAACTGCCCCCTTCCTAGTCCGCTGCAGGGAGCCTAGGTAAGCTCTGTAGCCAGAGTCACCTGGGTGCCAGCTGCTGTCTTTCAGCCACTTCAAAAAGCAGCTGGTACCTCCTCAGAATCTTGAGTGTGCCAAGCAAAGGATCCTGAATTCACGCTAAAACCCATTTGATTACACATACAACAGTCAAAAAGGAATTCTGAAGATGTCAGACTGGACAAGACAAAACAGATCCCCCCACCCTTTGTGACACCAAAGCCGTATCAACAGAGGAAAAGCTAAGAATTTGAGGGCTAGGTGCTGAATTGTTGCAACAGAACTACAGCCGTTTCTTCATTTTGGAACTAGCAGGGTCCAGTGTAGCCGGATAACTACAGCCCCCAGATAAAAAAAGATCTGGCAGTATTTTACAAATTTTGCAGTAAAAGTGGTCACTACACTGTATTAAGTTGCAGGGGAAATCTTAATTTTTATCAAGTCATGATGCATGTTTAAATCTTCTTAACCCATTTTTGCTACATCAGCTAGAACGCTTGATACGGCATGCTGTGCGGAACTTATTTGTTACCTACCCACATTTGCCATGTATTCAGGAGCCCGAGGAGTGAGGTTATGCAGAGCTTTGGTTGAAAGTTCTCGAATAACACTGAAGATGTAAAAAAGCATTTTTGGATTTTTTGGGGTTAGCAATTCAGTAGAAGTAATGTATTAAAACAAATAACATCAGGAAGGGACTCCTGCCCCAACCAAAATAAAGACCCCCAGCAATATTAAAAATTACAGTATTCTCTGTCCATCCTATCTTCCCCCCGTCAAAAAAAGCCAACAAAACAAAACAGTGGACCAAACAGACAGCCTACAGCTAGCTTTTAGCTATATGAATAGAACTTATTGCTGAAAGAGACAAAGAAAAACAGAAGTGTGGATGGTAGAACCTGAGGGCTCATTCTATGCATTGGCAGGGACGCTACCGTAAACTATTATTATTTCTCATGATGCAAACTATTATCAGCACTGATATAATCTCATTTGTGTTATATGTACACATTTTAATCTTCATGAACACTGAATATGACTAAGCACCATCTCTACGCATGAAATCTACTTTAATTATGATAATTGTATGGTGATGGTGTTTATCCCTCACATACACTATATACCATATAAATGTGTTTTATTAATCTATTAACAGATTGAGGTCATGGCAAAAAGACAAAATTCATAACCATATTTTAAGTGACAATATGCTAGGGAGATATAGATGACATCAGCTACTACTTGTCCAGTTTCCTTCAGCCAAATGCTACTGCAAACTCTAGTATAAGCAAAATTGACAAATATAATCTAGGAAAGCTTGACAGGCAGAACAGTCAATTCCTGGATATTAATAATCAGACTTTACGAACTTACCCATCCCAGTGGTTAATCTTCATGTTAACTAAATGATCAATCATTGGCTGTGTATACTCAGGAAAGCCAGCAATAAACACACTGAAAAAGAAATGTCCATATAGAGTACAGAATCAACATTTGTGTGCATTTTAAGACAAGCTACTCTAAAGATTTAAATCCTCTAGTCTTAAAGCAACCAAAAAAAATTACTTAAACATGCCTTTTCCTAAATAAGATGCAGCTGAACGAGATAATACAACGGGAAATACTTTACAACTACTGAAAAAAATTAAATCAGTTTTGTAAAACTTTCAGATTCTTTATAAAAACTACCATACATACAAAAAACTTGATAGCAATGAAAAGCAAAAATAAACAGTCAATTCCCATTGCTACATTCTAGAAAATCTAGATGCCTATATTAACTTGTACAATTATTTCAGACTGGAGAAACATATTAACAGTGCAATTCACAGAACACAGTAAAATTAAGTTACAGAAATGTGCTACATCTTCATTAACACAAGGGTCCAAAACTGAATGTGGGTTTTCAATTAGTCCCTTTTTAAAAATCAAATATACGCAAAAAGTCAATTCTGACATAAAATGTGAAGTCAAGACCTAAGATGTAAGAGAAGACCAGAATTAATTAGCTAGGTAGCCTGCATAATTACCTAACTTTACAGCCATACTTTCTTTTTGGTCTTCAGAAGCATCAACTATCGAAAGCTAAGGTCAACAGAATTGAAATGGTTTTTCAGTACATCCGATTATGTTAAATAATCCTGGAAAGCCGAACAATCAGTAGAATGTGTTTGTTTCAAAACGGCGTGCACAGAGGGACGAAATTAAGGACGCATGGATTACCTCAATTTCACCTTTTTGTATCTTTTGAGTGATTAACTTTGCAACCATAATAGTGTTCCATTAGTACACGTGTGTGTAATTAGAAGCAAAACAAAGACAAAAAACAAATACTGATGCATGTTACCATACAGATATCTGTGTAATTCATCAGAAGAGTAGGAATCCTTAAATCCACAGCACAGACCTCAGTCACTTGAGCCAATGCAGGATACAGAAGTACATGCTATCTACTACTGCTATGAGCCCCAGAGGGGGATTAGACAGTTGGTTGAACCGGTTGTGGATCCCAGCAGAGAAATGATAAAATTCATTACTCTCTGGTTCCTTTCCCTGTTCTGGATGAACATACAGTATCAGACACACTTACCCTGCCGTATTTCAGTTCTCCTCTCTTCTTCAGTTGCTTTTTGGGGCCTAGTTTTAGCACTCACCATTCTTTCCAACCATTTTAATCCTAACCTCCTTGCCCAGCTCATCAAATTTGATCTCTTGGGCCATGTCTGTAAGCCCAATCTCACTTTCGGTTTTAGTTTATAACTCTTAACTAGTGTCCTCATCTTTTGTACCCTAATGAGTATTTAACGCAAGCAGCCTTGGATACAAGTGTAGCCTTCCTGATAATGCTGGTAAAATTTTTGTATCCCACTCTACTTAGATTAAGAAGCTACTTCCTTAACTCTGCCTTTACCAAGCCCAGAACTCCTGGAATCACATAATCTTTTTACTCTCAATTCATACAAAATGGGTTTCCTCTACCTTCCACCCTCAGAAACAGAATATGATATTTGAGCTGAATCTTCCAAAGATGATCAGCAAAAAGTTTCAAAAGGGCACCTAGTGTAAAAAATTTGCATAAATATATTTAGATTTGAAAGGATATAAGCAACTATTTATACACACACATATCTATCATACATATATAT